TTTTGGTACCAGGGATCGAACTTGGGACTTTGCGTTTGCGAGGCAGGCGGCAGAACCACTGAGCTAAATCCCCGGCCCCCTAGATTTATTAATATAAGCAGTTTTAAATTTATAGGCATATTCTTTGAGAGCCCTCCCCTAAATGAAACTAGGGAAGGGGGTGATAGGTGAAAATGATCAAAGTATGTTATGTGTATCTATGAATCTGCCAAAAGGAAAACCACTAATATGCACTAATACAGTTGTGGACAACATAATCATTAGTGATAGAAATAGCTTACAAGTGAGCTTAGCGTTTGAAGGAGAAATTGACATTTTTTTGCCAATGATACATTTGCACTTTCAAGGAAAATTAGAATCTGGGAACTGAGATTACCATTAACAAATATAAAAATGTTTTTGATTGTCAATTCTTAAGTATAAATGAGTTTATAGGTAACTGTTTTAGACCTTGCAGGTTACATGGTCTCTGTTACAACTACTCAATTCTGCCATTGTAGCACAAAACAGATAATCAACTATAAGTATAGGTTTTTAGGAAATTAATGGGAAAAAGCCAGGAAACTCGAATACCATTTAGAAAAATAGGTTGGATTCCTGGATGGTCTGATACAATGTTATTAAAAAGGTCAATTCTCAAATTAATCCTTTGAATTTAATATAATTTCAATTAATATTACAGGAGGATTTGAGGACAGGAGGTTAGAAAACAATAGATTAATAAGAGGATTATTAATAGCCAATTCTAAAGTACACAGGGCTGGAAGTGTAGCTCACTGGCAGAAGATGTACTTAGCATGCACAAGGCCCTGGAGTCGATCATTAGCACCACACATACAGAAAAGTACCAAGAGGGAACTCCAGATAGTAAGTTACACTATAAACCATAGTAAAAAATTAATGCAGAAACAAGATTTGTTCACAAGCAAGTCTATATAGAAATACATATGATAAAATGGCTTTAAAAGCCATTGAAGGAAGGGTAGATTGATAGATGGTGTTGAGAAAACTTCACAAGAGAAAAGTGAATTTGAATCCCTTTCACCATTCTGTAGGTTGTTTCTATATGCTGTTGATTGTTTTGCTGTACAGAAGCTTTCCAATTTGATGTAATTCTGTTTTTTAGGCTATCTTCATCAACCTATCTTTTTGGCCCCTTTGTCAAAGCTCAGATGGCTGGAGGCACACAACGTGGTTTCTGCGTCTTCTACCCCATTTGTCTATATGTCTATTTTTGTGCCAGTACCATGATGTTTTTGTTACTATAGCTTCATAGTATAATTTAAAAACAGGAGTTGTGATGCCTCCCACTTTTTGCTCAGGATTGCTTTGGCTATTCTAAGTCTCTTTTGATTCCATATAAATTTTAGGATTGTTTTTTTCAGTCCTGTGAAGAATGTTGATAGTTTAATAGAGATTACATTAAATCTAAATACCACTTTAGGTAATAAGACCATTTTAACAATATTAATTCTACTTATCCAGGAACACGGGATGTCTTTCCATTTTCTAATTGCCCTCTTCAATCTCTTTCTTCAGAGTTTTATAGTTTTGGTTATAGAGATCTTTCACCTCCTTGGTTAGGCTAACTGGAGGTTGATTCCATTTGACCCAGCTATACCTCTCCTGGGTATATCCCCAAAAGAGTTAAAGACACCATGCAACAGTGATACATGCATACCCATTTTTGTAGCAGCACAATTCACAATAGCCAAGCTCTGGAAAAAAGCCTAGATGCCCATGGGCAGAAGAAAGGATAAAGAAAATGTGGTACATATACACAGTGGAATATTATTCAGCCATAAAGAAGAATGAAATCATTTATAGGAAAACTGGTGGATTTTGAGACCATAATGTTAAGTGAAAAAAGTCAAACAAAAATATCACATGGTGGTTCTTGTATGGAAAATCCAAAAATATAAATTAAAGAGTAAAGTAAAGAAGACAGTAGGAAATGGAAGCAGACTTGGAGGAAGAGGAAGGGGATCAGGAAAGGGAGAGGGGAAGATAAGGGATGTAAAAAGCTCAAAATGATCAAGAAGTTACAGTAACTTACGTATTTCAAACATACACTAATATTTTAAAAAGGAAAATGCTAACAGCCCCCATGCTCTTAATAACTTTGCTTGATCTCTAAGTTAGAGCTTTCATATAGCTCCACATACTGGCCCTGACTTGCCCGCTTCCCTGCTCATTTGTCTCCCTGAATTCCCTCAGGCTTGCTCAACACGTGAACCCTGCTCCAGGCACACCTTGGGGTGTGTCAGGAACACATTTATCACAGAAACATTTTTGTGCCACAAAAGGACTCCTTCTAATCTTCTGCCTAGAGTCCCAGATGCCAGTTCCTGAGGCCTTCCACTCCATTTTTTAAAAATTGAGATATAATTAACACCATAAAATTCACCTGTTTAATATGTACACTTCATTGGGTTTTAGTATACCTACAGGTATGCAATGTTACTCTTAATTCTAGGACATTTCCATTGTTCCCCAAAGAAACTTGTATCCATTATTCAGCTTCATTTTGTGGGGCAGGCAGGGTACAAGGCATCAAATCCAAGAGCGCTCTACCACTGAGCTACATCTGCAGCCCATTTTATTTTGTTTAATTTTTTCAGTACTGGAGACTAAACCCCGGGCCTTCTGAAAGAGCTACATCCCAAGACCCTTTTAACTTTCTTTTGTTTTAATTTTGAGACAGGATCTTATTAAATTGCCCAGGTTGGCCTCAAATTTGTGATCTTTCCTCAGCCTTCCTAGTAGCTGGGATTACAGGCATGTACCCATGCCTGGCTTCAAATTCTTAATCGTAGATTTCCTTTCTCCCCCAGAATGGGAATGAAAACCTCCAGACCAGCAGCACTTTGGGAGGCTGAGGCCGGAGGATCGAAAGTTCAAGCCCAGCGGGGCCTGGTGGTACCTGCTTGTAATCCCAGCACTCCTGGGAGTTTGAGGCCAGCCTGGGCTACAAAGTGAGTTCAAGGCTGGCTTGAACTGGATAGAGAGACTCAAAAAAACAGACACAAATAGGAAAAAAAAATTCAAGCCCAGCTTGGGCAGCTTGGGGAGACACTGTCTCAAAACAACAAAAATAAAATAGAGCTACGGATATAGCTCAGTGTGTCAGTGTGAATGCCCTGGCTTTAATACCCAGTAGTCAAAAAACATCCCCATCCAAGGTACAGCCTAAGGCTACATGGGGAAGGGTTACATCACTGGACAGACTTGGTAAACACCTAGAGGCTTGGGCTGACCAGGCAAAGATGTCTAATTCAATATGATTGGTTGTTATTTTGGGGTGCTCCCCAGCACCACAAACCCAAGGCCTCACACGTGCTAGGAAAGCACCGCCGAACTACACCAACCCCATTAAATATGTTTCTGAAAAAAATAAATTTCGTGGCAGGAATGACAGGACGTCCAGGGAGAGGACCCCTCCTCCCTTTCCTGACATCTACTTCCAAAGCAACAGGTTTAGCAATTTCTTGTGTAGGTCTTCCCAGAGAAGGCCTCTTCGGTGAGATTTTTGAAGTGTGCCTCATGCTCTGCTTTTCCTTGAATAGTGACCCCAGTTGCCTACTGGAGTCTGCTCTGGCATGCCCGCCTGGGATGAGGGCCTGCGTGTGTTGGTGGGGTTTTCACTTAGCCCTGCTTCTCAAGAACTGGAACCTGTGTTGGAGGATGTGTCCCTATGGTGTCTGCACACTCGACATTCACCTGAGGACCTAGCTCAGAACGGTATCCAGAGCTGCAGCAATTTGCAGACGCCCAGTGTGTGTAAATGTGCGTGAGCTGTGTAAGAATGTTCATTCCGGGAACACGTGGTTGCAGTGTGTGTGCTCTTCACACAGTGTGGATGTGTGTGCATGCTGTAACTGCAACCTACATCTATACATGTTTTGGGTGTGCACATTGCATGTGCGTGCTGAGGGTAAGTACTGTTTAAAGAACTGCGCACACAGTGCGCCTGCAGGTCTAGTGTGCATGCACTGTGTATGGGCAGCAGTAAGGAGCCATGGGTGCACTGTGGGAAGACTTGTGCATATTGCATGCTATTTGCACGCTGTAAGAACCGTTGTGCACATTGCACGTGCACGCTACTCGTGTGCTGTGTGAGAACCTGTGCGCCCATTGCAATGCATACCCCGCGCGCGCGTTCTATGAGAAATGATGCGCATGCGGGTGCGCGAGGGTCCGGTGCGGCGCTGCGGACCAGTCTGAAGGCTGCGCGCGCGGTGTGAGAACGTGTGCGCATGCGGACGCGCGCGGGTCTGGTGCGGCGCGGCCGGGCAGTGCGCCTGTGCAGCCGGCGCATCCCAATGGAGCGTGGCGGCACTTTCGGGTCGGGAGCCCGCGGTGAGGGGGCTTCGCGGGGCATTCTGCTCCCCGGGAAGATGGCCGAGCAGAGCGCGGTGCGGACCTCGCCACTCAGCCACCGTCCTTCGGGTAGGGCCCTTGGAGTGCTCAGGGTGGGAGCCGGTTTAGCACCCCCCCCGGGGGGCGGGGCGGGCCGCGAAAGGCTGTAGTTCGAGGCAGTGAGGGTGGGGGGGCTGATAATCGCCTTTTGCCAGGTCTGGAGTTATCTGGGTGCGGGATTCCTGGAGGCTGCTCTCCTCTCTCTGCAGGTGGCCAGGACCTCTCCAAGTATGGCCTGGGCGAATGGATACGTCAGGGGGTGGCATTGCGTAGGTAGCAGGTGTGTTTGGGATGGAGGTAGCGAGGCCCACCCACGCTTGATGTTCGAGGGGGTTCTGGGATGCTCGCCCCTGTCCTCGAGAAAGAGCCAGTGTGGGGGACATTGAGGTGGCTCAGGCGATCTCCTGGGGTCCGCCTTGGCCTGCGCATCAGCGGTCTCAGCGTCCTGGAAAGCGCGCACCAGCGGTAGCTGCAGCCCACGCAAAAAGTGGCCCAGCCTTGCGCTTCTTGGTGTCCCTGGGGGGCAAAACCGGCGGGTCACACACTGGCAGGGACCGAGGGAGCAGCCCGGAGCTAGGTGTCCCCGCTGCCCACATGCGCTTACTGAGGTCTAGGATAGGCTGCCCAGGTATCTGGCCAGGTGGAGGCCCCTTTCACGTGACAGCACAGCGAATGAGACTGCTGCTGCTGAGAGCCATGGGGAGCTGGCCTCATACCGGCCACCCCAGGAGGGGATTGTGAGGAAATTGAGCAGAATTTGATAATCAGGTCTGGAGTCTTCTGGTGCTAACGTTCTGTAAAGTGGTTGCAGGTAGTGCGAGGGTGTAAGCAACTTGGAAACCGATTTCGTGCTGTTTTTCCTGGCAACACCTTTTATTTATTTTTTTAATATGAGCTATTTTTAAACATTTTTTACTGCAGTCTAGCAAGCATACAAAAACCGCAAAATCTTTGTATGATTTGGTGAATTATCACATAGCAAAGATATGAATGTTTTATATAAGATGGATCAAGAAAAGCAAAAAATCAAGGGAAATGTAAAACTTGCTTTTCATTGGAGTAGGGGGGAGCAGTTTCTGATTGGGCCTTCTGTTGCATCATTCATAGAAGGGAAGGGATGGCTTAAATCATTTTCAGTTTGTGTTTTTATCATTTTTTATTAAAGGCAAAACTTAATAAATACCACATGATAGTGATATGTATAAATACCTTTTAAACCTGTGCTTCTGTTTTCATCCATTTTGCTTGAGAACCTCAAGCTGCACCTGGTAGGGAAGAACCCAGAACCCATCCATCAGAGCTTGTCCTTCCTGGCAAAGGGAACCCTGTAAAATAAGACATTAAAAAGGGGAAGTTATGGGCGGGGGATTTAGCTCAGTGGTTCTGGCGCTTGCCTTGCAAGTGCAAGGTCCCGAGTTTGATCCCTGGTACCAAAAAAAAAGGGGGGGGGTGTTATTTAAGTTTGTATTTTTATTTGTTTGAGAATTTAAATAATAGCTTATTTAGATGTTTGTTGTTCTAATCAGAGGTTCACATAGGACTCTATGGTTGGACCTTCAGTTTATCTGGGGATTTAAATTTATTTGAAGAAACTTGAGTAGAGGGATTCTTCTCTGTTTTTTGTTTGTTTGCTTGTTTGTTTTGTTTTTTTAGGTGAGGGTCTCACTATATTACCCAGGCTGGCCTCAAACTCAATCTTGCCGTGTCCTTCTGGATGGCAGGAATTATAGCCATGCACAGCTAAGGGGAGGGGAGGTCCTTAGTAAATTGTGTTTGGAAATTCTAACATAGAATCATTTAATGCACCCTGCTGAAATTAAGATTAGCTTAAAGCTCTTTTCCTTCATTTGAAATTGGAAATAATGAAGCCAGACATGGTGGTACACATCTGTAATCCCAACACTCTGGGAGGCTTAGGCAGGAAGGCTTGCAAGTCTGAGCTCATCCTGGGCAACTTAGACCCTGTTTCAAAATTTAAAAAAAAATTAAAAAGGGCTGGGATATAGTGTGTGAAAGTCCTGGTACCTCAAAAAAGAAGGAAAAAAATGGAAATAATGGAAAGACATGTGAAGTTGTTGTTTTCCAGTACTGGAGATTGAACCCAGGGTCTTCATATTGAGTTACCTACCCAGCCCTTATTTTTTACTTTTTATTTTGAGAAAGGGTCTCACTAAGTTGTTAACTTACCCAGGCTGAGCTCAAACGTGTAATCTTCCTGCTTCAGCCCCCTAGTGTGGTGTGAAAGTTTAAAGTATGAAACTTCCATGTACATTAAGGTTGACATGATAAATTGAAATGCTCAATTTTTTTATCATGATCTATCCCGGATACTAATCATTTTGGGTTGCCCAAGGTTTTACCATGTAGGGCCCATTCCAAATAACAATGATCCTGCATTTCTAGATGATCAGCCATTGTTCCTAAGCTTGTGGTGGTTGCTGTGGGAGCTGCAGAAGACAGAAAGGCCTGATGTTTAGGCACTCTCATTTTAGCACAGTTGGGGGATACAAGTGGATGAGTGGTTTTCCTGAGAGCTGTTGTAGGATGCAGCAAGGGAACACTTCTGGTTGTTTCTTCTAGCCATATTAAAATCCTGTTTGTTCCCATTACTCACCAGTGATGTTGCATTTCTTCTTTTTTTTTTTTTTACTTACCTCCAGAATAGAAATTACCAAATATACTGTTCTTTTTAATGCTTGAGTTAAGTGCACAGTGTAACAAATGAGGAGTAAGTACCTTTTGTTTCTGTCTGCTTAAAAACTTTAGCCAGCAGATAGGATCAGCAGATCTCAATTTTCATATCAGACTGCATCATTGTCACACAGGTCCTGTGCTCTTCTAGGCCTGAAATGCCCCCTTCTCCCCTTTACCCTTCAGGTATTCACTTCCTCTGGACCCTTTCCGTTAGAATTAATGTATAGTACTTTCTTCTGTCTGTGCCTGTAATACCTCCAGCAAAGCACTCTTTTTCTGCCTGTTACTTACATTAATTTTCTAATTCCTCTATGTTATAAATAATCCACTTGTCAACAAAAGACAGGCACTCCGTTGTGAGAAAAAGAAAAGTTTATTCCATTGAACAGACTAGAAATCAGAAGATTTTTAGCAGCTAGCTGGGAAAAGCCGACTTTATCACGTCCTTCCACATGTGGATGGGCTGACAATGGGAGAGAAATAGTGGCCGCTAGCTAGGAGAGATTTCATCCCTGAGAGGATGGGCTAACACCAAGGGGGAGAGAGATTAGCAATTAACTGGGAAAGGAATTAGGCTTATATAGGTATTGAAGGGGCTAAGAAATCTGGGGTGACATATTTATGACTTAGCCACCCAAGGATGGTCTGGACTGATATGTTTACAATTAATGGACTTTTCTTCAACGCCAGGGGTTGATAGACCATATATTTTTAGTTCATTTGCCTCACTTACTAGGAAGGTGCTGATATTTGTTAAAAGCAGCCTGTTTGTTTTCCCTGTTGACTTAGGGCAGGCCTGACACTCTAGTTATGTGTTCATTGAGTGCCATGGTATGTGGGACTCTGTGCTGGTCAGTATTGGTGCTAATAAAAGAATAGATTGAAATCCAGACTACCTGGGTGTGAATGTCAGCTGTACCCTTCCTTCTGTGTCACTTGGGGGAAGTTACTTGACATCTCTGAGTTTCACTTTTTTCACCTTTAATACAAAGACTGGGAAGACTGGGAGATGGAACACTGTTTTGAGGATGAAGCAGTCAGTGACTACAGCAGTGCCTGTCACATAGGAAGTTCCTGAGCTGGTTAAGTATTATTAACTATGTGCTTCTCAGATTGTTAGCCTGAGGGCAAAGCCTGGCTCCAGGTTTTAGGTGCCTGCCTCAGTGCCACCTGCTACAGAGAGTAGCTGGGTGGTCATCCTACCCTTCCTCAGGGTTTTTGTTCAGATAAGTCTATAACCAGTGCTTGCCAGTTGTTTTAAGCTGGGGGCAGTTATGCTTGGTTGAGTGCTCAGTAAGTACTCATGCGTTGGATTAAAGAAGTATGTCAGTGGAGAAATTTGAGGTAATGGAACTATAAAGCATGCTTCCTGAGATCGATTGAGCTTTCCGGTGTGTTCTGCCTGTAAATATTATGTTACTGAGTTGAACTCATTTGCCCATTGCTCCTGGCAGTTGGAAAAATGTCCACTGGATCTAAAAAACCCAACTACTTTATAATGGAAATTTGAGGAAGGGAGGTACAAATTATTTCCATTAAAACTACACTGACTACTGATAAACATATTGCCAGAGGCTTTGGATTAGCTGGGCACAAGGAGAAGCAACCATTGCCTCTGGATTGGTTGAGACTACAAGCAGGCTATGATGACAAGAATTGAGTTAAGGTTTCAGTATACATTTAAAAATGTAAAATAGTATTTTGATTAACCTCCATCTTTCCCTCTTTCCTCTTTCCTCTTGCCTTTTATAATTAAATTTAGGACATTTCAGAACTTTTATTCTTTAGTAAGGAGGTAATTGCTTTGAAGGAAAATGAGATTCCTTTTTTTAAAAAAAAAAAAAGATGGGATTCCTTGATGTCCTTCCACCTACATTCTTTCATCCTCTGACATGGAGTAGGATAATATAGGGTTATAAACTAGAAGTTTAAAAAACCTCCTCCAGGAATTCAAAGTAGGGTGGGGCTGAATAGCAAAGGTTGAGAGTTCCATTCCTAAGAAATCAGTTCTTTATCCTTTCTTTGAAGTGGCACTTATTTATTTTCTTACAATACTAGGGATTGAATCCAGAGCCTCACACATGTTAGGAAAGCACTCTTATCACTGAGCTACACCCTGGTCCTCAGAGTTTCGTTTAAAACCATTCTTTCTTTTTTTTTTTGCTTAAATTCTTTTATTGGTACATTTTAGGTATACAGTATGTTTACATTCATCATTGGGTGCTTGTACCTGTACATGATCTATCTTGGTTCTTATTTTTCCCCATTACCTGTGCGCCCTTCCCTATTTACATAGAGTTTGTTTCCATTTTTTCTTTTCTCATAATTTTTCCTCT